GGTGAATCTTCTTCAGCAAAAAAAAAGATAAAGATAACATTCCTATAGAATTTTAGAAGGTTAAATTTGTCCTAGGGAAGGGGAGTATCAAACTCCTGAAGAAGGATAGAAAGACATTCACTGCAGCAAAAAATCAGAAACGTGTCCATCAATATGGAGCTGGTAAAACAATGCATCCATTAAAAAGAAGGCAGTAGATTTTTGTACATGGAAAAGAAATGATGATCAAGAGATACTAAGTGAAAAATATGGTGAAGAAGAGTCTGTATAGTATGATCCCACTCATGTGAATTAGAAATGATGATCACTATGTCTACCTATATTAAGTATTATAAGAAGTCTGATGAAGTGTATCAATATATATTGTTAACAGTGGTTAACTCTGTTAACAGTGGCTATCTCAAGATGCAGTAGGGATTGTGGGGGGGTTTCACTTTATACCTTATCCCTGTTTGTCTTACTAGAATATCTTAAACAATGGATGAGAAGAAAAATTTCTTTTTATCAGAGGCACAAGCAGTACTTTCAGGATTAATAGGTACTTTAATGAAGTCTTTGAATCAACTTTAAGAAATAAGTCCTATAAATATAAATATTTTCCTTTATAGAGAGTTTACATTACACTCAAACCAGGAAAATGGAGATTATTGACTAAATTGAAATTATTAACATTTCCAAGATGACATTGCAACCATATTTATTCATTTCCTTCAAATTAACATCAAAAAGAAGTAAGTTTACAAAGGTTTTTCTATGTCATTTATTCAGCAATGCCTCTCACAATGATTTTCATAGCTTGATAGAGAAATAGATATAGAAATTTATTTGTGAAATAAAATAAAAATTTTCTTCTTAAATTATGCTTTATGAAAAGACTGTCAAAGCATGGTCATCTCTAAGCACCAAGATTATACATTATGTCTATTTTCTTCTTACCTCCTGTCTATATTTTCCAAATTCTCCATAATAATCACGAATCACTTTTACAATCAGAAAAAGAGGTTTTTTAAAAAAATTGTTACATTAAAGTTAGGTGTCCATACATTTAACACAGTATATCTGATCCATGTCAATCTGCTTGCCCTTTCTATATGACATCAAGTAGTTATCTTTTTCTCAATGACTGAACTTTGCAGACTTTATTTACAAACTGGGAGCAAATGACTTGTATTGTGATCAGATTAGTCCCCACCTCTCTCTATCCAAAATGACAAGGCAAAGTCCATTGAGCACACCCTGACAAGCAACATTTTAAATGTCGTTACTAAAATGACTATGCAGGCCTCTACAGAACCACAAAGAAAGGTCAAAGCAAAGAGAAGCTTACTGTTAGAAAAACTCCAGCCTCTTACACCTTCTCTTAGCCACAAACACATAGTATGCAGCAAATACTTTTAGGTTACACTGAGAAAGTTTGAAACTGCAGCTTTGGTGTGCATTGTGATGTGCAGAAAAAAGGGAGAGAAAAATAGGGGTTTCTTCATGACGATTGAAGTTTTTATGCAAAGGGTTTGAGATCCTTGGATGAAAGTTACTAAGTAAATACTGCATGACATGCACATTGTACAACAGCATATCATAATTATAGTTCGCTTTCAACCATCTGAAGCCTTTCTGTATTTTCTGGTTTTAGCTTCTAAGCCTTGTAAATTATTTCTGACTCATGAGCCTTTCACCCTAGGGGCAACTCACAAGCTCCATAAAAGTATGGATATTTTTCTTAAATCTCTTTTCCAGCAAATGCATTCATTTGCTGTTTAGCCTCAGAATGTACATTCCCACAGTGAAAAGCAACTAAATAATACCTGTCTTCCCCTTTTATATCCTCCTTTTTCTAAAAATGTCATATTTATAATTAAAAGCACATATCCGAAGACCAATTTTTTATTACAACTGAGGATCTTAAGCTGAGGAGGGAATTGGGAGCAGGATGGTGTAAATACTACTAGGCCAGAGTGCCCCAACCTTGGCCCAATTGGCACCTTGGGCTGGATAATTCTTTGTTGTGAATGGCTGTCCTGTGCATTGTAGGATGTTCAGCAATATCCCTGGCCTCTACCCACTAGACGCCAGTAGCGCAGAGCTCCAATCCTCCAGATATGACCACCAAAAGTGTCTCCAGACATTGCCAAATATCTCCTAGGGGACAAAATGGAAGACCAATTGAGAAGACCAAAGACGATATAAAACCAAACCCTTTGTGCCTTTGCCAATTCAAATTGTTCCTTTGATCCCATGATCAACCTCTACCTACCTACCACCAGCCTAAAACACAGACAGTCACAAATGCCCTCACATTCTTCATGCCAAAGCCCTTAAACATTGTCTAGAGTTCTGCCTCTGAACCATATGTGGCCAATTTGGCTAGGAGGAGAGAAGCAGGCGCTGGTAACTGTTTCCCACCCTTCACTGACATGGATGTTCATGCTTATCACTTTTAATGTATATAAATTCATAATGTCTTGACTTCTGAAGCTCTAAAATGGCCCCAGTTTCTTTAACTGCTAGCCACACTCTGCAACTTCATGCTCCCTCATGAATATTGTTTCAACCATAATTTAATTAAATATGTTTGTTCTACCTTGCAATTGTTTTTCTCATTTGGCACTTAAATATACAATATGATCCAGGCTCAAAATATTTATTTCCTGAAATTAACCTAGATTAGAGCCAATTAATTAAAACTGGGAGAGGGGATTTATAGAATTTAAAAAACCCAAAAAACAAAAAACACTTTCTCTAATTCATCCCACAACAAAGCAACACATATTAGCTCATATAAATTTTCTTATTATGCCTCCTAATATAGTCAAGGGATGTTTATTCTTCCTGCTCCAGGTTGTCTGGTGTTTGAAGCACCAAGGAAAATGGGCAGAGGAAGTGATTTCCTCTACGGAAGAAACATTATTAATGAATTCTTCCCTATGGAAAACTCTGAAAAGTGGATCTACCATTACTAGATTCGTAATCTTGAGTAAGCACCTTAGTCTCTGCCGGCGTGTTTCACCTTTGGTAAAATGAGAATGGTGATACCTACCCTCTAGGGCATGTTGAATGAGATAATCTGTTTTAAGCTCTTAGCCCTGTGCCTGACATACAGGTGTTTAAGAAGTCATTTTCTATGCCACTTCCCTTTGTCCCCAGTACCGGTTAAATACTTTGTGAGGTTCAGTGCAAAATGGAAAGGGTCCCTTATTCAAAATTATTAAGAATTTCAAGACAACAGCAGAACATGAAACCATTTCTGGGGCCCTTCTAAGCAGCTCTCTGTTATGGCGTAGGTTGTACACTCATAAAGCCAGCCCGGCTTACTCCTCTAGGGTTTTCAAGGTTCTATTTGTCTATCCTTCTACTAAATTAAAAGCCACTCTTCAATTTCATAATTGACAGGGAAATAAATGCAACTAAAGAAGGCTTGATTATGTGTGTTGTTTTTCAATGCTGGCTCACTTTTACTCAAGCTGTTGAGTGTTAGTGAGCCCAGAGCTCTTATAAAGGAGCTGTTTTCATTTGCCATGGTATTGTAGAGGTGTGTATCATTCTCAACATGGAGGAATCAAAAAAAATACTTTAGTTGTCTACAAGTAATTGGACCCTTGAAGATAGGCCAAGAGGCACTTAGTGGCCAAAGAGGTACTTAATTCAAAAGGTCAGAAGCTCTTTATCTAGACTTATCAAACAGCATTCACAAAGAAAGCAGCATTGTTCTAAATCGCTGTTTTAGATCCTAGACTGGGCACTTTTGGGGAACTGGTCCAGATGTCTAAGTGTAAAATACCCAAAGAGGAAGATTTGGTCTCCAAACCACTGAGCCCCAGGTCTGCCTGTTATTCCCTCTCCTTTATGGATGCATCAACATGTCCTTTAAAGGATTTCTCGGGCCGGCCCCGTGGCTTAGCGGTTAAGTGCGTGCTCTCCGCTGCCGGCGGCCCGGGTTCGGATCCCGGGTGCGCACCGAGGCACCACTCCTCCAGCCATGCTGAGGCCGCATCCCACATACAGCAACTAGAAGGATGTGCAGCTATGACAGACAACTATGTACTGGGGCTTTGGGGGAAAAATAAATAAATAAAATCTTTAAAAAAAAATAAATAAAATAAAGGATTTCTCAATGTTCTCACATCCTATTTATAAGAGCAGATCCTGTAAAAATACAAAATGTGTGTGAATATGTACATATATACGTATACATACACTGCCGCACCTCCAGGCACACAAGGTATCTTAACAGAAGGCAGAGATTTGACATTTATTAAGCACCTCCTATGTGCCAGGTGTTTTATATACACTGGAAGATTAGAGTATGTTAGTTTTCATCCATTCATTCATTTACTCTCAACACCCAAGACGGCTTTTTTTTTTTTTACAGTGGAGATACTGAGGCTCAGAGCAGTTATGTAACCTGCCCCAAATCACACAGTTAGTAAGTTGGAAGATCTGGACTGGAGATTTTATGACCTCAAAGCTCATATAATATCAAAATCCTATTCAGTTTAGATGATTAAAAATCAGGGGTCCAATTTGTCACAGTCTCTTTGAATCAAACAAACAAAATGCAACAAATTTCAACATACTTGCTAATCTTATTCGTGTATATGGCCGCCTTGCTCTTACCATAATTTTCACCCTTTCCCCCACTCCCACTACTATAAATGGCTCAGCATCTTATGGTTAGCAATTTTGCTAACAGTTGATGGGGAGAACAGAATGGCCTCTCAGCAAAGATTAAAGGTTAACTTTAATTCGTGGTGTGGAACTAACACCGAAGACCTCAAGAAAAAAACGAGCTGTTCGGAATGACAATTCCTCACTTCCGGCCTCGACTGCGCGGGAGGGAACTTCCGCACGTGGGCCCGGAGGATTCCCAGCCCGCGCCGCCCTCCGGGTAACTGGCTGGTCGGCCCGGACGGCGCAGGCGCCAGGGCCGGAGCGGCTGGGGCCGGTCGGCCCGCGGTTTCCCTGGAGACCGGGCGGAAGCGGCCGGAAGCTGCGCTGCGGTTGGCCGCGGCTGGATGGAGACGCAGGGGGTGGAGCCTGAGGAGGAAGGCGGCCGCGACCAGGAAGAGGACGCGTCTCGGGCCATGGAGCGGTTGGAGGCGGGGGCAGCCGGCAGCTCGCCGGAGCCTGAGGAGTCCGACGATCTTCTTTGGTGTAAATGAGAAGGGCGGGGCGGGCGGACACCCAGGGCGGCGGCCGCGGCCGTTGGGGTGTGACGGTCCCCGCCCCCCTCGGTTCCTTTCCGTCGTCCCGGCTCCGTCGAGAGAGCTGCCCTTCATTAGTGTTTTGTGGCTAAGACCCCGAGCGGGACAGCTTCGCCTAGTAGGAATAGGGTGGGTGCGTCAGTGTGTTCGTGGAGGGTGCATCTGTGGTGCCTTAGACCGCCCAGTGAAAGCCTAAGAAGCTCCCGGGCGGGTTAAGGTGCAGAAATGGAGAACCTTGTCGCCCTCCCGGCACAGGTTGGGGCCTGGCCTCAGCCCGCGCTGGAAGAAATGGCTCGGAACCGAGGACGAGGCACGTCTGCAGTGGCCGCCTCTGCGGTGACCCACTTCCAGCCCGTGGGCTCTACTTTGTACCACCCAACCCCAGCGCCTGGGGCCGGGGTCTGCTTTCCTGCACTTTTTTTTTTTTAATTGGAATAATTTTAGGTTTAGGGGTAGCTTTTCCTAACGTTAATAATCTTACAACACCACGGTACATTTGTTAAAACTAAGAAATTAACGTTGGCATAATATTGTTAACTAAAGTGCCAGCTTTATTCAGATTTTACCAGTTTTTTCCACTGATTTTTTTTACTGTTCCAGGATCCAAACCAGAACACCACATTGCATTTAGCCTGCCTTGTTAACTGGTGTTAAGAGCTGGAATCCTCTCTGTCAACCCCTCGCCCCCCCATGGCATGAACTACTTTTAAAATCCAAGAAATATTTACTTATTCTTTCAATTTAGCGAATATTTATTGGTAGTCTGTTATATGCCAGACACTGTTCTAGGAACTGGGAATTAAGCGCTGAACCAGATAGTCCTGCTCTCATCTGAGAGCTAAATACAGTCCCCTGGAACCCGTAGGTTCTGTCTTCTGCTGTTTTGTATTTCTGATTTTTTTTTTTTTTTTTAAGTCTAAGGACATGCCGCTTAGAATAATTTTTGTTGGTTGAAATCAGCGTTTAAACTTGTCTGCCCCTTCCTATTTACTCTGAATTTTACTATAAACTTCCTGGTGGTAGGATTACCTCTTGCATCTTCCATTATTGATCAATTCCTGAAATTTATTACTATCCTGAGAAAAATACAGTGCACAAAGAAATGCTAAATAAACAGGACTGAAGACCCTACTATAGATGGAGTTTCTCTCATGTTTGTAATTTTTAGATGCTTTGACACAAAGAATAAATCCAGGAAAAAACTTTTAAAGTCACTCTGCATTCTTCTTTCTCAATTACCATGTTTTAAGGAATGGCCAGTTGCTCAGAGATGATAAGCAGCCTGAATATATTTTTGTATTTTTTTTGCGCATTGTGCATGCAGTTCATGATCAGCTGGAGCCAGCAGGAAGTTCTTCATCCAGAGTCATAGTGCACGTGGATCTGGATTGCTTTTATGCACAAGTAGAAATGATCTCAAATCCAGAACTAAAGGGCAAACCTTTAGGTAATTCTAGTCATTGATAATGTTTTCATAGTGTGATAGGATTAGCTCCTCATTTATTGTTTATTATGTTCTGATTTATTAACCATACTAAGAAAGATTTGGAAGCAGTTCTTAAGGTGTTTTATGGATGATCTTTGCTTCACTGCCGGGTGTAAACTTTATAAGGCTCATTTATTAAATGGTGAATTTGATGGAGGTAGTATGGCCAACTGAACAAATGAACAGAACCCATAATAAACTTGTAGTCTTTCTCAATGTTTGAAATTTTATAATCCTCTTATCTCAAAAACAGCCTCTTTTATAACATTTTAATGGAAGCTTTCAACTATCCTCCCATTTTGAAATTAACTCTTGAATTCTGTAATGTCTGACAAAATAGTTGGATTTTGAACAGGACCTTGAATATTAAGGCAAGCGTTCCATAAAAGCACAAGTATCTTTTTAAATAAAAGGCAGAGAAATTTTACGTTGAGGATTTACTTATTAGTATGTTAGCTTGTTTTAACATTTTTATTATATCTTAAATTGGAAAAGTAATTTAAATTTCCAAAAATTTCTTTTATGCATGTAGTAAGGATTTATCTTTAGTATAAGCTTCAAGAGCAATTTTGGTTCACCTGCTGCTACCCTCTTGTGCCTGGTTTGGTTCTGATAAATCCCAATTCAACCCAGCCTAGTTGATTTACTAAAGAACAAAGGGATGACTAGTTTTTGGTACACCAAGTTCAGTCTAGGATCTTTAAATTTACCTAAGGATGTCAAGGAGTTAGGATTAGGGGGCCTAAGTTTTCTCCTAAATGCATTTCTAATTAGTAGCATTGTAACACAAGGTGTTTTGTAGATAATGCTTAATAAAAAGATATTGTGTAATTAAGACTCGGGAATGAATGTGTATTGGGAAGTGAGGGATGTGATGATGAAAGTTTCTAGCAGAAAGCATATGTAGAGTTTCATCTATTACTCAATAAATATGACTACTTAACTTGGGCTGGTGAGGTATAGTGGTGAGTCCATATAATTCAGCATTAAAAGACTACTTTTTTAGTTAAGGACGTTACCAGTCTGGTTTTTTATATAGTTCACTGATAAATCTTAAATTACTTTTGACCCAATGTTCTATTTTTGGGCATAATCTGAAATCTTTATGTGAAATAATGTTTCTTTGTCTTGTTTATATTATTGAAATTTTAGAAACAAGTGTCTTACATTAGGGGAATGGGCATAACATTTTTTTTCTTCTTGTTTGTGTTTTACATATTTTAAATGAGTTACTTTTATAGAGGTAAACAAGTAGTCAACTTGTGTAAAGAGAAACGCAAATAATTTTAGCAATCTTAAGTCACCAGTAAACTAGAATTTGATCCAGTCTGTAGAAGATCATAATTTAATCACTTCTGATAATGAGAGGACTCATAATGCCCCCTCACTATCTAATCTTTTCTGCAGATCACTATGAAGAACAGTCCAATAATTAGAACATTTACTGGGGAGAGATCCCTAATAATTGTAACAGAACATTGCTTTATATTCATTGGAAAGTTAGACGATAAGTGAATTTTTTTAGCAGCAACCGGTAATTAATTGTACTCAGTTATTTTCATCTGCTTTATGTTTTGGTAAAACATGGCCTAGAGTTATGTATAGAAAAAAATCCTGGAAGGATTTTATTTGTATCTTTTTGCTGAAGATTCCATAGAATATATTGATTTATGGTAATTTTTGTTAAATTCTACTTCATAGAACTTTGATGAATGGAGTCTACATTTTTTAACTGAGACAGAGCTTTTTATTCTTATCAAAACAAATTGCATTACAACTTACAATTATAATATGGAATTAATTATGTTTTAAGATGTTTCTTCCATCCTGCTCAGTTTTCTCATAAAATGTTTATTTTTTCAGGGGTTCAGCAGAAATCTTTGATGGTTACCTGCAACTATGAAGCTAGGAAACTTGGAGTTAAGAAATGTATGAGTGTCAGAGATGCAAAAGAAAAGTGTCCACAACTGGTATTAATTAATGGAGAAGACTTGACTCGTTACAGAGAGATGTCATATAAGGTTACAGGTATATATTATGGACAGTATACTTTCAGCATTAATTTTTATATAGGATGCCTATTCACTACATGTATCTTTTAATAAATGTAAAATACCGTAAGTCAGTTCCTTTTTGCTAATAACTTTTTATTTTGGGTCTTGCCTGCTTTAAAAAAATTTTAATGTGAGAGATGACTTTATGTGTTATGAGTAATGTTGACAAAAAGAGTATAGTTGGAAGGGATTTGAATTCTGTCATGACTAATGTGTTTTTATAAATATGAGAAAAAATGTAAAACAAAATTTAAAAGAAAATGGGAAGATGTACCAAAGAAACTCAAATATTTTTTATTTTAAGTGCCAAATTTAAATGAATTATGAAGAAATATGCTATACTCTAATACACTAATGGTACTTGGGAGAAGCTTCTGTAGTGTTCAAGTAACATACTTAAAAACTGATCTGTTAAGAATTATTAACAAAAATAATGGATATATTAATTTTTTCTTAGATTTTATGTGTGTATTAAATATTACAGTGTAGGTAAACTCCCTCATACTAAGGTTTGGGTTTGAATCTTAGTGTTTTAGTTAATTACAGGAAAAATGAAAATGTGTGTACTGGCATATTGCAAAGATATATAATTTAAAAATATGTAAGAATCAGTTTTTTATTTAATTTTTTGCTATTTTTTTTGTTCTTTTGTAATTTGTAGCAGTTTCCCGATGAAAGCGTTAAATACCATAATATCCAAAAGCTCTTAAAAATTAGCAAGAAAAAGAAACTCCAGAAAAATGCACAAAGGATATGAATAGGCAGTTGACAAAAAGAGCAAGCCCAACATTCAACAATTAAGTGGAAAAAGAATGCTCAAATTTGTTAGTGGCTAAGGAAAATTGAATTAGTAAGATATTTTATATCCATCATACCTGCTAAAAAATAATGAGAAAAAGTAGAAATGTAAAGTATTACGGCCTTTTTAAAAAAGCAATCTAGAAACATTTTTTGAAATTAAAGATACATGTTATATTCTTTACCCCAGTGATCTCACTGCTGGAGATTTATCTAATAGAAATAAAATCATAAAACATACATACAAAAATGTTTATTGTAGCATGGTTCATAATTGGTAGAAATGTGCAATGAATACATATGCTCATCAGGATAAGAACGGCTAAACAAGCTGAGAGTTCCCTATGATGGAATATTATATAGCCATTAAAAAGCATGCATTGGTGTTATACTGTTTGACCTATAGAGAGATGCCTTGTTGTTCAGTGAGTAAAAGGCAAGATGCAAAAACATGTATCACATTTTTCTATATGTGTAAAACAGTGGCCCAAACCCCTTCCTCCACATATATGTGTATGTCTATATATGAAAAGGAAGAGAGACGCGAGAAGATATATACTAGGTTTCTAACATTGGTTAACTTCTGGAGGGGAAAAGGCGGTGCTGAAATGGGAGGAAGCGGGAAGAAGAGTTAGTCAAGCAAAACAGAGAAGACTACGGTCCCAAGATATCACTTGTACATCTATGCAAAATTGTGTGTGTCTGAATATTAAGAAGTTAATTTTTAGGGGCCGGCCCTGTGGCGTAGTGGTTAAGTGCACGTGCTCCGCTGCTGGCGGCCTGGGTTCAGATCTTGGGCGTGCACCGAGGCACCACTTGTCAGGCCATGCTGTGGCGGTGTCCCATATAAAGTGGAGGAAGGTGGGCACAGATGTTAGCCCAGGGCCAGTCTTCCTGAGCAAAAAGAGGAGGACTGGCATGGATGTTAGCTCAGGGCTGATCTTCCTCACACAAAAAAAATTAAAAAAAACAGGTTAATTTTTATTGTACACAGAAGAGGTTATATAACACATACAGTTGTACATTTGCCTTTATTCTTGGTGATCTTTCATATCATTCATACAGCTTGACCTGATTCTTTTTAGTGCTTTTGTGGTATTCCACTGTATTTTGTTTCATATTTGTTTAACCAGTTTTTTAGTGATATGAAGACAGTATGTCCACTTTATGCTTATAGTCTGTACATAATTATTAATAGCACCTCCTACCTTTCAAAAAATGTCTTGTTTTGGATGATAAATTATATAGTTTCCTCTATAGTGGTGGATTATTAGGCTCTTACCAACTTTTTGCTCATATAAATATATGCTTCAGTAGACGGTTTCACGTAGAAATTTCGGCATACTTTTATGGGGATATCCATAAGGTAAGTTCCTACAGGTTAATTGCTAGGTCAAAGGTAATTTGCATTTAAAATTTTGAATACTGCTTATACGTTGCACTTGAGGTTGTCCCAACATACTGCTAGTATGTATGAGAGTGTTAGATATTCTCAAATTGTAAAGATTTTGCTTGGTAGGTGAAAAAAATAGTAAATCATTGTTTTGACATGCATTTCTCTATGAGTAAGTTTGAGCATTTTTTCATATATTTTTGCTCATTTATATATATATTTTCTGTGAATGGCCTATTCACTTGGGCCTATTTTTCATTTGGATTGTTCATCTTTTTTCTAATTAGTTTGTGTCATTTTTTTGGAAGTTAAGGAAAGTAGCTCTTTGATGGCCATGTGTTATAAATATATTTCCAAATTGTGTTTTGTCTTTTTTACATTATTTATGGTGTCAGACTTATATCAGTCTTTCTCTTATGACTTCTGTGCCACTGCACCTTTTCACAATAAAAATATACTGGAAACTCAGTGAGTAAATTTGGGTTTTTACACTGATTTTATAAAGTATCTTGAAAGAATTAAAAATGCACTAATAACAAGAAATATTCTAAGCATGATTTGTGCATTGATAAAAAGTTATTTTGTTAATTTTTCTCATAGCGTTTTCTGAATTGAAGTAGGAACATTGCCTTTAGTCCCGTACTGAATTTATCTCTGACCTGTTTATGATGTATAACCTTATTGTTTATTCTACATTTTTATTCTACAGTATATATACTTTTTTGTCTAGAGAGTTTTTTTCTCTAATTATCTCCTCTCTTTGGCCTTGCAAAATTATGTGTAAAAATAAATGCATCTTATTTATAAAGTTGACAGCAAAAAGAGATTAACTTCAGGAATAGGATAAGTGATTTATCCCTGTGACCTAGTAATAGAACCAATGTAATCGGTCAGTATTCAGTGGTCCACCAGTTGTGTGCACGATTCTGTATTTAACTTGTTTTTCTGTTTAGTACTTAAAACTTTGTCCTTTATTTTTCTCATGTAGTATTATTTTGATAAACTATTTTGTTTCCTACCTGTTACTCTTAGATATCAGGTATATACTTTTGAAAAAAAATTGCAGAAATTGATGAGGGAAATGCGAAATAACTCTTTTATATGATCAGACACGTTGTCAGTCTCTCCTCAGAGTATATAAATTGTTTTCTCTAGGTAGATTGGAAGTGATTTTTGGTGGTCACCAGGTCACGTTATTATCTTTATTAATTGTTTTCGCCTGATATTATCAGTATTGGCATCATAAAACAAGGTATTTTTCATATTTGTGTAAAAAACTGATCTGTGTGGAATGACATAGTCTTTTTTTTTCTGAGCTTTCAGATTATGGGGCTTCAAGAACCTATGCATTTTTGTATAATAAAAGGCTGGTAATTTGTTTTCTGCCATCCAGCTGGTTTCAGTAGGTGATTCAGAGAGAAGTAAATCTTCTTGATGATTTCAAAGTTTTTATTAGTCTTAATCCTAAAAGTGAGAATTGATACCTCAAATCTTGTTTCACTTCAATTTAGTAATCATTTGACTTAAGGACTAGGTATTGTGTTAGACGCGGGACATTCAAATACATGTAATTCATTGGCCATCTCTGCCCTTAAGGAATAAGCTGGAGGATGACTAATCAAAATATTGCATTGTAGTATATTTTGAAAATTAAGTGACTTTTTTTGTCTCACTAATTGGAAGTTTTAAATTTTATTTTGTTTTTTGCCTTTTTAAAACTCTTGTGGAAAGTATAGCTAGACTATGTTATTACTTGTTTTTACTTTTCTAGGCAGACTATAATTTATTCTTTGACCCACTGCTTCAAGATCATAATTAACTATAAGCATTGATATTTAATATACTACAGATATGGAAATTATAAGTATAGGAGATTGAACTAAATATATTGCTATGAATATCTGCCCAGGGAATGTCATTTTTAGACTTATTTTGTTGGAAAATATTGCTTTTATTCAAAATGTAGTGCGGAAAAAAAAAATCTCAGTTAACTGAGGACTTTATTAAAGATATTGTGGAACTGTGAATATATGTAAAACCTTTAACAAATATTTGATGTATTTTTTAAGCATGAAATAGTTCAATTTATTCTATTTATAACTTCAGTTACATCTGTGCTCTAATATTATTTCAATTTAGAGTTGTTGGAAGAATTTAGTCCAGTTGTTGAGAGACTCGGATTTGATGAAAATTTTGTGGATCTAACAGTAGTGGTTGAGAAGAGACTACAGCAACTTCAAAGGGATGAACTTTCAGCGCTGACTGTGTCAGGTCATGTATACAATAATCAGTGTAAGTGGGTTCTTATTCTTTTTGTTTAGTAACTAAAAGTACATACATTTCATGATGTTCAGTGAATTCAGTGAGTTGACTGTGTCCTTCTGAAAGTTTTATGGCTTTTGTTGGAGGGATAGCCATATTTCAGTAATCTGTCTGAGATGACTAAAATTAGGTATTGCTTGCTAGTCCATATTAAGTAGGCAGAAAATGAGATTTTGATGACATGTAGCTGAATGCTCTGTGCACTTTTTCAGTTCTCTGACACTGTCTGTGTGTTACCATTTTTAAGAGCCATACCTCTTTAGGTTATCCTTAAGTTATAGGAGTTGGCTTGATAATATGCTTTTTAAAATAATTTTTGATTCTCCTAAAACTATCTTTAAGCAAAATTTTGAGGTAGTCTAAATTTGCCTTTGTTGCCTCTTTTGCTTGTTTCTTTCTATTTGCGAATCTCCAAGGCACCAAGACCCTCCTGTTGCCCTCTGACTTCCCGAGTTACCCCTGTGGAAGCTTGTCCAGGCCTACCTGCCGTCTTTTGCAAGCTCATATTTAAGTAGTTAAATAATCTTTGCCAACTCTTAGCAAGAAAGCAGAATGGTTCATCTCCTTCTCATATTAAAGTATAAATGACTGATGGTATTTCCAGGGATATTTGTATTTGAAAATAAGCTGCACTTAGCTCCAGTGAATATCCAGTTAGACTTTCAAACGTCTTGTGACTCTGCTGCTGGACTCCCACATCATACCACTTAGAAGACATGCTACTCTGCTGTTGTTTAAGACTTGCCCTGACCCTCTTGCTCCTAGGTCTCAGCATGTGCTTCCTCTTATCCCCCTTTTTGGAGAGCTGGTGATCAATCTCCAGTCTAGTTCTCTACCTCCCTGATATTCAACAAGAAAAGAGGTAGAGCTACAGTTCTCTTCTAGAAGAAGACATGATGCTTTTCACGTGTCTTTTGTATCTGTGCTCTTTTGTCACTTAGAAGAGCTGAGTAGCAGGAAGGTTCCAAATATATTTCTATCTAATTTTTCAAGCAAACTCAGACTTTATGGTTAGAACATATTATGGAGAACTCAGTTTTATATGCTAAAAAGAAAATGTCTAAGTCTTCATGAATTCTTCCTTCTCTTCACAAGATTTTGTTAAAAATTTTTTCAAACCTACAAAAAAGTTAACAGAATAGTACAATGAGAACACTTATTATGCCCATTCTTGTAGATACACCTGTTGTTATTTTGCCACATTTGCTTTATCTTGCTCTCTCTCGATTGATTGATTAGTGAGACATTTAAAAGTAAATTACAGACATCATGACACTTCATCCGTAAATACTCCTGACGATAAGGACTGTCTCATATAACTTGAATACCATTTTCACACCTAAGAAAATTTGTTCCATATAATTTCCATACACCTTTTATAAAAGATCTCTTAAACTATATACAGATCCAAAATTATTTTCAGTAGCACATTTCTAGCACATAAAGTTTGTATTCAGATCTTTAAAGCTGTAATGTTAGCTTTCTTATTAATGTAATACTTTTACTTCTACGCTTACTTACATGTAAACATGAGTAAAAGTTTTACTAATGTCAATAAGAATTTTTTATGAGAGATCAGTTTTCATGATCTGTTAATCATTAAGCACTCCCAGTATGTACTCACTATCACAGGCCATTAGAATTCACTTGTGGTAGTTGTTTACTTCTCAGAATTCCTGTGAAGAATGAGAGAGATAAGTGGGTGGCATTATGGAGGTGTTGGTGGGAGAGGGCTGGGGGTCATATAGGTTAAGCCTTGTACCCTTTTTAAACTCAAAATTAAATTTTTTGGTGGTGACCTTTAACGACATTGACTGTTTTGTAGCTGTAAACCTGCAGGACGTCTTGCACATCAGACTCCTTGTTGGATCGCAGATTGCAGCAGAGATGCGGGAAGCCGTATATAATCAGCTGGGTCTCACTGGCTGTGCTGGAGTAGCTTCTAATAAATTATTGGCAAAATTAGTTTCTGGTGTCTTTAAGCCAAATCAACAAACAGTCTTATTACCTGAAAGTTCTCAAGATCTCGTTTATAGTTTGAACCACATAAAGAAAATACCTGGTAAGACAAATCTATTTGAAATGTACATATTGGTTTTATTGTATTTCTTTAATTTTAAAAATTATAGATGCATGTCATTCTTAGAGCCTGTGTAGTGGGCTCTTGGGAGGAAACCAGAAAATCTAATGTTTTCCGGAGGGAATCTGTATTAGGAAGTATATGAAAGTACTTTTCTGGTTTCACCTACTTTTGTATAGTTTTAATATGATCATGAAAGTTATAACCTGGAAACATATGGTCCTGTATTTCCAGTCCCCGATTCATACTCTTACACCGTACATTGCATCTAGAGAGGGGAATGGGTCTTTTACTAACTCTATTTTGGGATTATGTATAAAATATTAGGGCTACAAGGGACCCTTCCAAAGCGTCTAGGCCAAGTTTTCATCTTAAAGATGAGGGACCTGATTTTCTTGAGGGGGTCAGTGACCTATTCACATAATGGGGAAGTTTGTATGTTTGAAGATCAAATACTTAACATTTTTATAGACCATCAATAATGGATACATTAAGCTTAATTTTTATGGCATTGTTGGGGCATAAGATGTGATAATTCTGTGGAAGTGAATTTCTAAGACAACTGAAACTTAACCTTTAGATGTCATAATTTCACTTTTTTTTATGTTTAACTTTTTTTATTGATGTCATAATAGTTTATAACATTGTGAGATTCCAATTGTACATTATTATTTGTCAGTCACCATATAAATGTGCCCCTTCACCCCTTGTGCCCACCCCCCAGCTCACTACCCCCTGGTAACCACCAAACTGTTCTCTCTATCCTTGTGTTAGTTTATATTCCACATATGAGAGAGGTCATACAGTGTTTGTCTTTCTCTGTCTGGCTTATTTCACTTAACATAATACCCTCCAGGTCCATCCATGTTGTTGCAAATGGGACGATTTTGTCTTTCTGCATGACTGAGTAGTAGTCCATTGTATATATAGCACATCTTCTTTATCCAGTCATCTGTTGCTGGCCACTTGTGCTGCTTCTACGTCTTGGCTGTGGTGAATAATGCTGTGATGAACATAGGGCTGCATAAGCCTCTTTGGATTGTTGATTTCAAGTTCTTTGGATAAATACGCAGAAGTGGGATAGCTGGATCATAAGGTATTTCTATTTTTAATTTTTTGAAGTATCTCCGTACTGTTTTCCATAGAGGCTGCACCATTTTACATTCCCACCAGCAGTGAATGAGGGTTCCCTTTTCTCCACATCCTCTCCAACATTTGTTGTTTTTTGTCTTGGTGGTTATAGCCAGTCTCACGAGTGTAAGGTGATATCTTAGTGTGGTTTTGATTTGCATCCCCCTGATGATAAGTGATGTTGAACATCTTTTCATATGCCTATTGGCCATCTGTATATCTTCCTTGGAAAAATGTCTGTTCATACCCTCTGCCCATTTTTTGATTGGGTTATTTGTTTTTTTTTTGTTGTTCAGATGTGTGAGTTCTTTATACATTATAGAGATTAACCCCTTGTTGGATATATGGTTTGCAAATATTTTCTCCCAGCTGCTGGGTTGTCTTTTCATTTTGATCCTGGTTTCCTTTGCCTTGCAGAAACTCTTTAGTCTGATAAAGTCCCACTTGGTTATTTTTTCTTTTGTTTCCCTTGTCCAAGTAGACATGGAATTTGAGAAGATCCCTTTATGACCAACGACGAATAGTGTACTGTCTACTTTATAGTTTTATAGTTTCAGGTCTCACCTTCAGGTCTTTGATCCATTTTGGGTTAATTTTTATGTATGGTGAAAGCAGATGGTCTCCTTTCATTCTTTTGCAAGTGGCTGTCCAATTTTCCCAGCACCATTTATTGAAGAGACTTTCCTTTGTCCATTGCATGTCCTTTGCTCTTTTGTCGAAGATTAGCTGCCCATAGATGTGAGGTTTTATTTCTGGGGTTTCAATTCTGTTCCATTGATCTGTGTGTCTGTTTTTGTACCGGTACCATGCTGTTTTGATTACTATCGTTTTGTAGTATGTTTCGAAGCCGGGGATTGTGATGCCTCCAGCTTTGTTCTTTTTTCTCAGGATTGCTTTAGCTATTTGGGGTCTTTTCTTGCCCCATATGAATTTTAGGATTCTTTGTTCTATTTCTGTGAAGAATGTCATTGGGATTCTGATTGGGATTGCATTGAATCTGTAGATTGCTTTAGGTAGTATGGACATTTTAATTATGTTTATTCTTCCAATCCATGTACATGGGATATCTTTCCATTTCTTTGTCATCATCAATTTCTTTCAATAATGTCTTACAGTTTTCATTGTATAGGTCTTTCACCTCCTTGGTTAAATTTATTTCTAGATATTTTATACTTTTTGTTGTGATTGTAAATGGGATTGTATTCTTGAGTTCTCTTTCTGTTAGTTCATTGTTAGAGTATAGAAATGCAACTGATTTTTGTAAGTTGATTTTGTACCCTGCAATTTTGTTGTAGTTGTTGATTATTTCTGATAGTTTTTGGACGGATTCTTTAGGGTTTTCTATATATAAAATCATGTCATCTGCAAACAGCGAGAGTTTCACTTCTTCATTGCCTATTTGGATTCCTTTTATTCCTTTTTCTTGCCTAGTTGCTCTGGCCAGAGCTTCCAACACTATGTTGAATAACAGTGGTGAGAGTGAGCACCCTTGTCTTGTTCCTGTTCTCAGAGGGGTGGCTTTCAGTTTTTCCTCATTGAGTATGATGCTGGCTGTGCGTTTGTCATATATGGCCTTTATCATGTTGAGGTACTTTCCTTCTATACCCATTTTGTTGAGAGTTTTTATCATAAATGGATGTTGGATCTTGTCGAATGCTTTCTCTGCCTCTATTGAGATGATCGTGTGGTTTTTGTCCCTCATTTTATAACTTCACATTTTTAACCTCTGTGTGATTCCAAAATGTCATATGTTACCTTGCCTTCCTTAATATAGTATAATCGTAGCTTGAAGTTTTTTGGGTGACTCAGAGTCTGCGGTCTGAAGAACAATTACTATGTCAGGCTGTAATAAATTGAGGACTATGTGCTGATACCTGACTTATTACTCAGCCTTACATTTTTGAGTGCTTGTATTTGTTTTTTTTTTACAGGCTTTCTCTTTTCTTCCTTATTGCCGAATTGCCTGCCCTCTTTTTTTCAGCTGTGAAAATATCTGTCACTCCACTTTAGTAATTCTCCATACACACCTAGCCCCTTTGATTTACTTCTTTTATTGTGCAAGGAAAGCAGATAGCTGTAGAATTAATTTATGTTAATTAATTAATTTTTTTTTTGTGAGGAAGATCGTCCCTGAGCTAACATCTGCCAATCC